CGCGACAAGGTCAACGTTTTCTCCATTGCGGCGCCATCGTTCTATTAAATGCAGTAAAAATTTGTTAAATTAAAAGTTATTTTAGCTAATATTAAGTACCTTTTGTGCGATCGAATTATTCGGCTTTGAAAAAAATGGGGGGTTAAAAATAATTTCGTCTTGATGAGATGCACGTATGGATTTGAATGACGATGATAAGGCGGATTTATTCGAGGCTGTTGGAACATCAAAAATATGTGATTTTATTTCTCAATATGTACAAAGCGAGCTTCGCTCAACAATTATATTCAAATGAAGAATTTGTCCCAATTTACATGAGAAGGGACTGTGTAAAAAATATTATTAGGTGCGCTACGTTTGGTCGCAAATTACAACTTGATTGTTACCTTGGCTAAGAGGCACATCGACTGAAGGACTATCTTGTTGACCGGAAAGGAGCAGCAACTGTTCTTTGCTGAAATGGGACTTTGACAGGCACATTGCTCGTTTAGATCCGTTCTTGAATTTAATGGTGTAGCTGTTCTTTGTACCTGGAAGTTTCGATAGCTCTTCCGTGGTAACTGCCAGGTCTTTTGCGTGATTCTCCATCAGCGGCACAAAATCAGTTTCCCTAATGGCCACATAAGGCAAATTTGGTGGCACGGCGAAACATCCATCTAGCTAATATGGGAGGAGTATAAAAAAATTGTTAAAACAGTCTGAAAAGAGTTTCGAAGATACCTCATCCGAAGCAGTTAAACGCAGTTTGTGTACAAACGTACACAATCGGGCAATTAAATCTGAACTGACTTGATCGCTTAACACTGGAAAAATACTTGCTGCGGTGTAACGGTAAAAGTGTTGGGCAATGGGAAGGAGGCGCTGAATGACGTACGGCTCAATCTTTACTGACCACTGGTCAAAACCGCATTTTTGTAAAAACTAAACCAAAAATGTTTGAAATTTAAAATAATTTTGTGATAACTTTAAATATAAAATTACCAGTTCGGTAGCTGCAACCAACAGCGAATATCCATCCAAACAGTATAGTATAGCCAGTTACTTGTATAACAAAAGGGGAAAGCTGCGCACACCACCAGGCTAAGTACACCACTATTTGCACCATGCGACACCAAAATGTATTCAAAATACCAAAATACAGGCAGCCCTAGGACACCAGTATGCTTTTAGTTTTGAACACATACAGTGGTCGGTCGTATTTACAGCAGCAATATGACTGTATCCTAATTCAGATCTATATTGCCACGAATGGAATACACCAGAGCCGGCAAACCAGAAAAGACTGACCAAAACCAATATTATATTCCGAAAGCCCGTAGTCGAAAACCCGGCCAGATAGTATTCATTTCTTTTAAAACCTCTCCCGCTTCGAACGCAAAGCGGAAGAGTTTTGACTGCCTTCACCAAATGCAACATATTGTAATAATAATTGTAATAATAATAATTATCATCGTGGTTTTTTTAATATGGCAATGTTGCCACGTAAACCAACTAAAATATAGCTAAAAAATTAAAGTCATTTCTACTATTTAAATTATCAACATGAATTTAATTAGCAGACCATCATTACGACAAGAACAACTACATATGAAACGTTGTCATCGAGGACAATTTCTGCACGAGTGCCGGCGGACCAAGAGACCAAGCTACCGGTACTGTCCTGCGCACGGGACCCGTTAGGTGAGCGGGTGACTGAGCTCTCGGTACTGTCAAGTGCACAGAGCCCGTTAGGCAAACAGGCTAGCGGGAGACCGAGCTAGCGGATTCACGGAGCCCATTATGCTATGAACAAGTTACCGGTACTGTCCAGTGCACAGAGCGTTAGTTGAAGGAGTGACCGAGCTTCGACTACCCAGATTCTTCAGGTTGAGGTCCAATGAATCATGAATTCAGCTGTGAGAATTTATGGTGATTTGAGAGAATCACGAACAGATGAAAAAATTATAAAAAATTAAAATCCGTGTTTTTATATAAAATCGGTTTTTTGCGTTTATACGATGTACCGATTATGTCTCGAAGAAATACGTTATTCTAATAAGTATTCATTGAAACTAAATAAAGTCGCCGTTGACCAAAAGATACGCGGAGGCGAAGCCGAGGCTGTTTCTTGTATGTTAGTATTTCTGTGTGCTTACAAAAAAGTAGAACTTTATTGTACTTAAAACAGAAAGTGGGTAACAGCATTAATCGCCACTAAGCCTATACAAAACCTCAAACACCGTTCTGGTTGGGCGGCCGAGCGAGTAGAAGCCGATGAATTCGTACTAGTTGAATCAAAAATTGAGGAGGCAGGCCGCGAGACGAAAACTGTCTTTTCCGCCCCTGATAACCATTAACTGAGAAAATTTTCTCGCAATAATTTTTCAAAACCAGTGGTTGGCCGCACTCTTCCGCGGTGGTGTTAGGAGATTTCGGTGGTTTTTGTAAACATATTACAAAATAATGAAAAAAATGGTGTGCACAGACAGCGCACTCCATGGCCATGGTAGTGGTCAAAGGTGGTGTGCGGAAATTTTGGTGTTCGTTATGCTATTTTTAGAATGCATGAAACAATTTCTCACACGACCGAACTGCGGTTATGACAGCGCAATCAGACGTGGCATTCTTAAAATCTGAGAACATTATAAAATTAGGCTTTAGCTTTGTGCACAGCGTTATAAGAGAGGCAGCCATAAGTCGGCTGTCCGTGGTGATCTCAGCGAGGGAGGGCGGTCAGATGAAGATCCTGTCTGTTGAGGAAATTCCGAAAAATGGCGATGGAGCGGAATCAAACCGCTGGCTACCGAGTGAGATCCACGTAGCACAGCCACTGTGCCATCGCCGCTGTTGGCGAAGATCAAGATATTTGTGCTTGAGCTTGAGCCAACCAGGTAGGCGGCGGATGGGCAGCTGCTGTGTGTACAGAGGATTCTCCTCTTACAGCGTTATCACCCTCTTCCTTCACTAAACGCCGGACGCCCTTTGCAAGGCTACTACATCCTACTCTGTCTCTGCCCAGTTACAAACACTGATTCTTTAACTTCCGGTTTTTTTCAACATTTTTCTACAGTAAAATGGTCTACATTCCACAATTACCTCAAATATTTCTAATATCAGTGGTGTCACACACCTTCAATCGAGCGACAAGTCCAGCATTACACACCAACTGACCACTAACTACATCGTAACATCACATGAAACTAACTTGCATGGGCTGAGCTGAACATATAAGTAACAGCTAACCAAATAGGCTAGAGATCGCACCAATTTTCTTTGTTTTACACAGGAAATTTTCGATTAAAAGGGACGCTACTAGCTTAGCTGTATGCTACGACTGATCTCCGTCGTATACTGCATATAGCCAAGCTTGTCAGGATTCGGATGCCGCCTGGATCTGCCACAATAAGTAAGCAGACCTAGCAAAACATTAATAAGTGACCATCGCCATTTTATCAAGCGGTTTTACGGTTTACAAAAAAATTAAGTTCTTCTACTTTTTCAGTTTTGAAGTACAGTGCGCGGTTTCCGGTTTGTGATCACCAGTTAAGAAGTTAGGTTACATCTTAATGATATCAAGTAATCAGAATTATTTAAACGGGCATCGTTAAAGGAATGCAAAGCTGCGCAAAGGATCTACAATTGCGCCATGCTTAGACAAGCTTTGCTAACAGATTGCTTCGGCTCGTTTGGCTGAAATACATTGACAGTCAATTGGCAAATTCAGTGTGCTGCCTGCTTTTTCATGCTACTTCATGAATTTGCAGCCCGGCTCGCGCTGGCTGCGGCCGAGTCAACAGTTTATCGATATTTCTCTGATTGGTCGGCAGAACTTCGTACATAGTGCATCCGCTAAAACGACGCTACTGTATAAAAGCCCTACACTGAATTTTGAACGCACTTTCTACAGAACTATGCGTTACGATCACAAAGCGCAGCTTATGGCATCGCTAGTAGTGGAATAGTAATAGTGTTCCATTGATCTTCGTTACATGAGGCACGTCTGCACAGTGAACCAGCAGCCTAAACATTTTTGGCTGTTTTATTTCGGTTATTTTGGCTCATGCCAGTTGAGCATCTTGACGTGTGTGCATTTAACAGGTTTCGAATCAGACTCTCCAGTGCGCAACCACGTCCAACGATTCCAACAGTATGGACCGCGCCAGCAGCATCCCGTGCGCCGACATCGTTCCCCTTCAACGCACTCGCCTAGTTGTGGTTCCGGATGAAAACGCCTCGCTCCACGAATCCGTCAGTCCAGGGACCTTTGTCATGCTCAGTGTGGACCTCGGCCAAGACTTTTGCTCGCCGTCCACTGAAGAAACCCAAGCGCTCATCAAGCGACTGAATGGCTTCCTGCTGCATCCTTACTGTCGGGATTTCTCCGTCGTCCATCTTATAGACGGGAAGTTGGAAGGCGCTTGCAAGCTGGTCGAAACACAAGCGTCTGGTTTGCCAGTGAGAGGGAACTCGTTCTTTTATTCGGCAAATGTTCGGCTCTTTATGGATGTTTCTGTTGCAGGGTTTTGCCGATTACTTCCGAGATCAAGTGCTCGGCATAATCCAGTGTCTGCCTACCACGCTCCGGCAACCCCTGACCTGACCGTGAAGGGGCTGCCGGTGGAACTGTTGCAGGAGGTCTTCTCCCACCTGGACACTTTAAAGCAAATGAAGCTGCGGAATGTGTGCGCCCTGTGGAACCTGATTCTGGAGGCCCCAGCACTGCGTTCCACTGTCGTCATCCACCGGCAAGACAACGGATGTAAGGCAGTCTACTTCGGCTTGATGACGGTGTACCTATGCTTAAGTTCCGCCACACAACGACTCATCTTTACGTCGCCCGAACACGGGGAATGCGACACCAAGTACGTGGCGAGGATGTTGCACGCTGTCCTTAGGACGGCTGATGATCACCCCGGCATGCGACTGCGCGCCGTCCATCTGCACCGTGTCCGCCTCAATTTACTAATCAGTCGGGCTGTTACGGATGTCGGCGCTTGCGGTCAAAACCAGTCCTAAAGCTTATGTTTTCGAAGTCGTGGACGGAACTGGATGCAATCGAACTAGATGCGTTTCTGGGCTTGCTGATTCTACACGGCGTGAATCACGAAAGCAAGAAACCATTGTGCCAGCTGTGGAACGAAGCGAAGGGTCGACCCATTTACAACGCCACCATGTCTCGAAATCGTTTTAGCGAAATATCTAGTGCACTCCGTTTTGATAATAAAAAGTCACGATACCTGCGCGAACTTACTGATAAACTGGCACATATTCGGGAGTTGTTTGAGTTGTGGGTACCAACGTTGCGAAATTCCTATCTACCTGGTCCTTATCTCACTATAGACGAGCAGCTGTACTCGTTCCACGGCCACCGCAAATTCAAGCAGTATATTCCGAAGAAACCCTCAAAGTACGGGCTAAAGAATTCTATCTTAGCTGATTCTGCCTCGAAGTACTGCTGCAACATACAAGTGTACACGGGAAAATCTCCGGGCGTCCCTCCAGAAAGAAATCAAGGGCGCCGTGTTGTTTTGGATCTTGTGCAGTACCTAGGAGTCGACTCCGGAAGAAATGTTACGACAGACAACTTCTTCACAGATCTCGAATTAGGTAAATCGTTCTTAGCTTTGTACAACTACTTTTAAAAGTGCTTGAGATTTTTTATGAACATCCGTATTTGAATTGGGTCGACCCTGATATCAACATTTGCATGCCTTGAGCTGCTCAAACGAAATATCACTCTGGTTGGCACGATGCGCAAGAATAAGCCAGAGATACCAGCAGCTTTTTTACCATCCAGAGAAAGTGCTGAATTTTCTAGTCTTTTTGGTTTCACAAAGGAAGCCGCACTGGTTTCGTATGTTCCAAAGATTGGCAAAGCAGTTATACTTCTCAGCACCACCACCGTGATGCTGCGGTTGAAACGACCAGTGAGAAGAAACCTGTCATCATCACCACATACAACGAAACGAAAGCTGGAGTCGACTCCCTGGACCAAATGGTTACCATGTACAGCGTGAAGCGTCGCACGCGTCGTTGGCCAGTAATTCTGTTCTACGATATGGTTGACATATCTGCGTTAAATGCGTTTGTGGTGTGGATCGAATTAAACCTTGCTTGGAGCCGAGCAAAATACCGTAGACGACTGTTTTTAGAATCGCTAGCAGAAGAGCTGCTAGAAAACCATATGCGTCGACGCCTGGAACTGAAACACATTAACGCCACGGTGCGCGGCACTATCAAGGCATTACTCAAGATTCCAGAGGAAACGGGTCGACCCATGCAGCAAATTCCTGCGCCTCCCTTTACTGGCCAGAAGCGCTGTAAAGTGTGCGTAAAAGGTACGGATCGAAAGACAACTAAATACTGTGTTTTGTGCAGAGTTCCTGCTTGTGGTGAGCATACTTATAATATTTGTGTTAACTGTGTGAATAAAACAGTCGGTGAATAAAATGTCAGTTTATTTCGCCTTGCGTTCCGGCTAGTTACGGACAACGTTCACAACACAGAAATTTGGAAAAGGGTGATGGAAGGCGGTCCAAACTGCAAGCAATCGAGTAAATCGGAGTCGACTCCAAAGCAAAACAGAACACATACGTCTTTGTGATGTTTTTCTCCAGGAAAAATCACATTCATACACTGCACGAGTTCCTTTGGATAGACAACCGATTTGGGCAGCGCCACACGTTTGGAATTCTGCAACATAGAAAAAACGAAATTTTTATCGCACTACCGTAGATACGATGGGTCGACCCGAAACAATAAAATGACTCAAGGCTGAAATTTCTGCTTAAATCTCGCTTGTTGTTTACGAAAAATGCCGATTAGTTTTAAAACATCTTAGTTGGTTTTTTACCTTGATTTTCGTCCATATCTGCCGATAGACTGAATGCCTGGCAGTCTTGCCAGTTAGACGCTCCCGCAGTACACTGTCCACGATATTTCCCAACCACGTTGGCGAATTTAATCTACAATTTAGTAGATAGGATGGAGACGAGTCCCTAAGTTTTCCGCTCAAGTGCTTCACAGTTCTTACCCAACGGAGGAAAAGAGGTTCTCCAATTCTTCATGCATGTCAAAGAGAAGTCCGAGTAACGAAAGAACAAGAAGTCAGGCAGCAAACAATCCACGCTTTCAGCAACGATAAATGGGTCGACCCAGTCCAAGCAAAAAAGTCAAATTGAATCTTAAGATATCGATCTAAGAAATATTTTAGAATTGAAAATCATGAAAATCATCTCACTTTGTTCTAATGACTTAAATTTTAACGCACTTCAGCATCGTTCTGTTCGAATGATTTTTGCTAAAATTGTACCTAGGTGATGTTGCACAGTGATTTATGCTAGCTAACTAGATTATCCGTATTGTTGAACCCGGGTAGAAAAGCCGATTCCGCCTCTTGCCTATTCTGTGCCCGCTTGGTGTTGGGACAAACAATTTTTCTTGGTGATTTAACTGTTAAGCATCTTTTTCACGGGTGCTGCACTTTGCGGCCTTTTTCAATCGGGTTATTTCGAACGAGGACTGGTTGTTTTCACACAACCCGGAACAGCGACGCGGTCTCGGCGACGACGTGTTTCATTTATTGGTAAATTTACCACTAGTGTTCTGCGGCACTGTTTTAACGGTACACTGGTTTTAGCAGCCGCAGATCGCGCAAAATCTGCTCGATCTATGGTCGCTGGTGATGGAGGCAGCGAAACAAGGAGGACGCACCTATCCGATTCAGGAGGATCTGCGTCTGGTCCAGCGCATTTGTCGCCAGCGTATCCTGCACGGCGTTGCTCCGACCTGGAAGCAAGAGGACCCCATGTATCGCGGGTTTGGAGCGGATATCATCGACTTCTCCGATGAGGAAGACGATGAGAAGGAAAACGTCGAGCCGACGGCCGGCAAGAGCACTTAAACGGTTGGTGGGCTGAAAGTTCATCAATGTGTTTTTATAGCTATTATTTATTGACATTTCGTTGTACGCAAAACTTCATGGTTTATGATTTTGTAGTGTGAAGTACGTATAACGCAGTGGACATTTATCGCGGCATGAGGTGGTGCGTCGACGGCCTGAAAGATTGCAGCAGTTTGGCTTTGTCCAAGTTATTTCTTTTGCGGCACTTAAAAAAAAAGCCTTACTTTGCTAATAACTGATTAAGTTTTACTGGCATGTAAATGATTTGCTGGATTTTTAAGTATTAGCTATTTTTTGAAAATTTTTTTGTGGTCTGGATTGATTAATCCTTAAAAAATTTATTCCGATTTATTTCGTTTACTTGGGATTCGTTGCGGCAATTTTTTTGGTATCTGCTGTTGTTACAGTTGGTCGTTTTAATTTTTCATCGACCAGAATATTTGTTGAAGTATTGATCATGTTTCCAAAAAAAATTGTCAGCAGTTTTAGCGACATCGAAATGCATTCGGGCGCGTCACAGACACACTGCCAGCGATAGGGCGCTGTACAGTGTAGTGGTCACCGTAAGGAGCCTTTGGCGGGTCACATCCAGCCTCACACCAGCGAAACGTCACCGTACTCCGCCGTAAAGCACGCCAGAAATATGGGTGTAACCGCAATGTGCCGCTGGCGCGGCACATCCAGCGTCACACCCTGTGGCACGCTAGCGATAAGGCACCGTAATGGTCACAACGCGCCTCACATCGCGCCTCACATCCTGCGTCACACCGTGCTGGCGCCTCGGGTGCGATACTTAGCATGCCTCAGTAGGCCCTTAGTCTGCTAGTAACTTTCCAGAGTAACTTTAAATTGCGATAAATTTTCCAGGCGAATGTTACTGTTTCAATTCATGGGATATTTAGAAAAGGGATGAAAATGCAGCTCCAAAAGCGTAAGTGGAATTTCAGTAAAGCCCGAGAACAATTCAACAGTTTTCGTAATTCAAAAACTGCATGAGCGGCACTGAACGCAGTTCCTGACTCGTGGTGTTAGGCAGATAGATGGAAGCGCGGAAACTGACTCATAAATGTAATATTATACTTCTACAGTAAAATAAGCCGGCAAAGCCCTGCCAAATTAATGAACCAGCTTTTAGCGACGGCCGCTCCATGTGAATATCCGTGTACAGATTCGTGGCTGCTTTATGATCCGGATGTATTGCTCACGTACATTGGGATATAAGGATTAATATCTCCTCGGCTTTAGTATAGTCGCCGAATTTAGCCGTTTTATACTTCCTTAGCATCACTTAGTTTGGAACTTTGGATACGATGTTGCGCAGTATGGGTCGGCCGCTCGATAATAATTTTTAGAGCGGATTTTTGATAGTCGAACACAGGCTTCTTATGTTGATTGGTCAAGCAGATCCGAAATGACGAAGAGTTCGCGAGACCATCCTTTAATTGTGGAAGTCCGCGGTAAAGATGGAGCGTTCCAGTGTGCCATTACAGTAGCCGTATCCAGAAGCGGACTGCTCGTCGATTTCCACTGCGCAGGACGACGGAACGAATGGATTCCCTGGAATCGAGCCTTTCTATCGCGGGTTTATCCCTATGCGCCTAAAAATCTATTCCTTCCGTTCTGCGGAAATCAAGGTACTTATTGTTATTATTTTGGCCCAAAAACAGACAACTCCGAGGGACTTCGAAAGCAAACGGACGTACCAGTCTGAAATTTCAGTAAAATAAGGCGGTTAGTCAGTGAAGCGGCGCTCTTTATACAGATTTTTCTGCAGGATTCAGCGAACCGGTGGAGGTGCTGATGCAGCTCACTCCGTCTGGGCCGTGGACCTGGCAAGCGGCCACTGCTCTGGTCTATGACTGGCAGCATCAGCAGTTTGCATGGGTTGCCATCCATTTGCCGGGCGGCGACGTCAAAACCGTCGTTCCACTGGAGCGCATTAGAAGCCCGATGCACAGGTTTTCGCTGGCCCACGAACTGGAAAAGGGCATCCCGATCAGTGATGTGGCGAAAGCAATGCGCTTTTATGTAAGAAACGCAACAGACTATGCGACGTTGCGATGTAACTGAAGGGAAATACACCTTTGACTGTTGCAGAGTAAATCCCTGCTCCGACCTGACCGACTCGAACAATGCAGCGCAGATGCCGTCAACTTAAGAAAGCGTGGACGCGAGCCCGTATTCCAAGCTGCGGTAAAACGCCAGAAGACGGAATTCGCTTGCAGCGGTCGCCTAACTTCGTTCGTGATGAATTCCGCGATCCCTGATGACGGAAAAGCTCTCCGCTTCTTACCAGCGGATATAATGACCGCGATCTTCCAGTTTTTGCACACGGTCGATCAGTGCCGCCTGCGGGCAGTCTGCGCCGGCTGGGACCACATCCTCACATCGGCCGCTGTAAGAAAGCGGCTGCATATCCAGATTCCTACTGAAAGAGGATCATCCTCCGCGGGAGATGTTTACGTCGCTGTGGCCTGTGCACATCGCTGCTGGAGCCCGCGGGCGGTGGTCATTGTGGGCGCGCCCGTCAGCGATTCCTCTAAAGTGCACTGGCCGTTGTGTGATGGAGACTTTCTCCGCGAAGTTATGCAAGGAGGAGCCGAGAAATTCCCGGAGAATCTCGTTATGAAGGATATCAACTGCTGCTATTCGTCCGGACTATCCGAGGATTACGTGTCTACTCTTCACGGCGTTTTTGACTCGCTAGCGGCGATCTGTCACAAGCTCACTGTGATAAACTTCGGCTGTGAGATTTTCTGGTTTTGGGCGGAGGGATGTGTGGTGATGACGATCCGCGTGCCGTTCGGACGGATGCGCCACGATCGGCGTCTGAACGTTGCAGATTGGTGGGACATGCTCGAACGAAGTTGTCCTGTGTTGGATGAGCAACAAGCGGACCTTGTGTTTGACGCGATTATGGATCCAAAACGGAATGGGTTGCTAGATGCGGTACGGATCATCCTTCACGAGCGCAAGATGAATTTGCGATTTACGGTTTGTTTTTACTTTTGAGAGACTGGTTTTCCTTAGGTGCTGGCCACTTCTTCACGGAAGAATTACAGTGATCTAGGCAACGTTCCAACAGGATACGATCCACTGGAGTCGGAAGTGATCCCGCTGACGCGGATGTCACAGTACTTAATGTACTGCGCAATTTCCCACACAAATGCCGTTTTCGAAATGACCTGGCCCACTTTTTGGTGACTTCCCCTCCTGTGGACTACCGGAAGTCATGCAGTGGACAGCGGTTAATTAGTCAGGCAACTCTAAAAGAAAGATGAAAGATAATATACGATTTGTTTGTCATAACCGATTTAGCTCGGCGATGCTGCGGCAGTTTGTAATTATGCCGGGTACCGTTAAACTCGGTTTGCATTGGATTCCGTTTGTTCATGGATTGGGCTTCCGTTGGATTTGGACTTAAAGTGAATTGTTGTCACACGTCCTGAAGTATTGTTACTACGTTTTTGCCATAATGTTGTTTTGGGTGGCTATTGCCTATTAAAAACCGTCGTTCGTGGCATTTTTCGGGTGCAGGATCCACACTCTTTCCAGGCTTGATTTGTCATTTCATTTTGCGCTTTCTCTGCAGTCAGATGCAGCTACACATGTGTAGCTTCGAGTCTTTCTTACCAGTGATTTGCACAGTATGAGCTACGTTGAATAGCAACGTTTTCCAAGCCATTTGCTAAGTTTTTAACAGATAGAGGTACCGGTTACTGTTTAGGAACGGTTTTCTCGAGAAGCTAAGCATAACCTTCCTTAGTGAATAAAAAAAAGATGACAGTTTATTGCTACCACTATTCGGTCAATGTTTTTCTGACTTATTCGAGCTGTTTGACAGCAGCAATAACTGACAGATCAAAAAATCAAGCAGACCCGTTTAAGGACTGATAATCAGTGTAGTAACTACAGCCAAGAGTGGCTCTGACAAAATTGGCACTACAAACGCGCGGCGCTGACAAGTTCCCACATCATTAATTCAAGACGACGGCCGATCTCTGCACTCCATGATGCGCGTCTCGATCTTCTGCTGCAACCTCGTTCCCCCATCCTCCATCACACTCGGCTCATAATCCGTCTGGAAGATGCGCGTGTACTCATTGGCCAGTTGCGTGGACACGCCTTTAACGGCACCTAGGAATTGCGGGTACTCCACCGGCTGCGCCAGGTAATCCTTGGTCGCACCTGCAGATTCCACATCAAATGATTCGACAACGCAGAAAACACAAGACCGTCGGTTTACCGGCTTCGGTCTGGCCGAACCACCACGTGGAGAACTTGGTGGAGTGCTGGAAGCGCTTCTTCATCGGGTACAGGGTGGTGCGCGACATGGTCTGGGTGTTGTGCAGGGTGACCACCTGCCGGAAGGCGCAGTGGTGCACGGGCAGGCTCAGCGAGGGCTGGATGGGTTCCTCGCCAACGCTGGTCGTTGCGCAGGAGGGATCCCCACTGTAAATACAGCATTTAAATGTAGGGTTCGTTAGGGTTCTTTGGGTTCTTAGTTACCTATCGCATGTGGTTCCTGGCTGCGGTTTCGTGGCGACGACGGTCACCGTGACAATGCTGGCGGACTTGAAATCCTGTTGTGATGGCGGTTTGCTTGTGGGTGTGGGCTTTGGTTTGGGCGCGGCTTGTTGCGTGGAACCTGCAAATTATATTATACAGCAAAACCTGGAGCGGCGAAAAAAGTGTTGGCTACCTTGGCAAATAACGGTTTTAAGTTTCTTCACGTCACCGGCACTCAGCTGCTGGCGTTGACCAATTTTCGCTTTATTTTTGGCCATCAGCGTCGGAATGCTGGCCACCTGCGCCAGGAAGACGTAGCCCGGATGCAGAAGCGAGTCGTAATCGTAGGGTAGCGTGTCGAATATTCCCGGATCGTTTTTATCCAGTTCATTTCTCCTTTCTACAGCAGAGATTCATTTCTGTTTCGGTCTAATAGATGTTCGGTTATTACCTGGGATGACGTTATCCCAGTTGACGATAATATGCTCATC